GGAGTAGAGCACTGGAGGTTGGGGGCAGGTGGAGCGGGGACTTGGTGGGGCTCCAGAGGGAGGGTATAGATTGGGATTATGGGGGTGCATGAGGGAAAGGCTCTTCACTGTGTTTTCTATTCAACCTAAGTCCTCTAAGACCTCCTTATCTCTTCTGAGAGCAGCAAACTGAGATCTGATCTAATGCCAAGTGCCACAAGTGAGTGTGTGCGAGCGAGGCACAGCACTTTGATGAGAGCCTACTGGGGATGGGGATGTGTTTCTGGGTAATGAACGAGTTCAGAGTCTGTGTGTGTGTGTGTGTGCCTGTGTGCCTGTGTGCGTGTGTGTGTGTGTGTGTGTGTGTGTGTGTGTGTGTGTGTGTGTGTGTGTGTGTGTGTGTGTGTGTGTACGCCAGTTAATATATAAGGATGGTGAATTAGTCTGCAGGTTTTCTATATTTCTGTGCATGTGCGCCCCGTGTCTGTGCACTCTGCCTTCTCGCTGAAGGGTTGTTTGGGGTATTCTGTGCAGGTTTTGCTCCGGGAGGGAGGAGGGTTCTTGGGGTCTCGCATTCAGATGTAATTAGCCCAGACAAAGGCCTGGTTAAAGCTGGAATCCTCCAAGCTCCCTCTTCCTTTGATTGTGAGGGCCAGCTGTGGAGGAAAGGCCCTTTTCCCCCCTTGTCCCGCAGGATAAAAAAACCCCCCCCCCCCCCAACTCCCTCTCCCTCCTGCCCCAGTTACCCCTGGTGTTAGGGTTCCCACAGGGGGAGGGACATGAGAGGGTCGCATATTGGTCCGGATAAATTGCTGGTTCACTCAGAGAAATTGCTTCATCTCACACTTGAATCATGCTTTTTTTCTTTTCTTTTTTTTCCCCTCAAAGTGGCAAAAACGAACAGGTGGCACTACTTGCACAGGCACAACAAACAAAAACGGATTTTCACATCTGGATTAATTTAGATTCTGTGCAATTCACATTCCGACATCACTCTCAATTCTTTCAACCACCTTTATTTCCCCCTAAACACACAGATGCGCCCATCCGTGGATGCTTCCCTGATACTATGTGCTTTTTAAATCATAAATATCTCATACGGAGTTTAGCCTTGCACATTGGGACACTTAGACCCATTAGGTTTGGAAACAAATTGAATCTTTACAGCTACGGGGCCACATAATTACTGTTAATTTAACGCTCAGAATCTTCATCATTAACCCTCACTCTTGAACACATGCAGGCAAACCGAGGCAGCATGTGCGCGAACCTGCTGAGTCGGTTAGCAGCCATACCCAGCAGCCTTTGACTGAATTAACAGCGACCCCTTCGACTTGTAAGAACAGGCCTCGCATCATTTATGCATTATTAAGTTCTGTAATTGGGCAGCCAGTAGTTTGCATATTAGTCTATTAGAGTAATATGTTTTGCCTGTCTCAACACACGGCTTTGCCAAAACCCCTGGTGACACATTTAGTAATTCTCTGAATTGTGCCCCCGATCATAAGCTGCTGTTCTTTCGATCCCAGTAAATTTACGTCAGTTTAAGCCAATGCGTGCCCAGCTTGTTCATTCACAGTGTTTGCTAATTAACCCATCATTATACAGCCCCTTGCAAAAGTATTTATAGTCCTTGAACTTTTATTTTTTTACACATCTTCAGGCTACAGCCATTAACTCTGGTGTATTTTATTGGGCTTTTATGTGATACATCAACACACAGTAGGGTGTGATCGTGAAAATGATGATGAATGGTTTTCTAAACTTTTAGGAAGCACAAGCTGTATACTGTTGGTGCACATCCACGCAGCTCTCATTGGTACTTTGTACCAGCTTCTGCTCCGCTTCATGCAGTAAGTTTTTTTTGGCTGTGACTCTCCAAGCTTCTCAGTTGTAGAGACTTAAATCTTTTCCCTTTGTTCTTGGTACAGGAACTCAAGCTCAAGCAAGTAGCAAGTAGCCATTGCTTGCTACTTGCTAGATTTAATGGAGAGTGTCTGTGAACAGCAGTTTTCAATGTGATTTAGGTTCAGACTTTGACTGGGCCATTCTAACAATTATATTTTCTTATCCAAACCATTCTGTTGAGGATCTGACTGTTTTCCTGACTCTCCAGTTGGAATGTGAACTTCTTGCTTCAGTTTATTGTGCTCAATATCAGGTTTTCAACTGTATTTTGCTCCATCCATCTGTTAGCTCCAGCATAAATCTGCCACCACTGTGCTTAATCATTATAATGCTGTCTTCAAGATGATGGGGAGTGTTAATTTTTTAAAATGCATAATGTTTGACATGCATTTTAAGAAGGTCAAATGGCTACATTTTGCACCTTATTCCACTAAATTGTCCAAAAGGTTAAATTTGTGGAAGAACATGACTAAGAGTTGTCATGTCGACAAATTCTCCACCTGAGTTTTGGATCTCTGCAACTCCTCCTGAGAATTACACACTAATAACAAAGGCAGTAGGATGCACAGGTTGATATTTAATTAAGATGATTAATGCTCTATCTTTACTAAAAGTTTAGGTTCTTTATGTCACATCTGAGACCTTCATAAACAGCTGTATTCATACTGATGAAATTGTAAATACACTGCCTTGTACTTCCTTGATGACCTTTGAAAGCAAATTCTTGCAATGGATTTTAACCAGGGGTATCAGAGTAAAAGGGGTATGAGCAAAAATGCGTCAAAGACTCTAGATTGTATTTCTTGAGTTAATTTAAAAGGACACTTATCATTTTCCTTCAGTTTCACAATTGCACTATCCATTGTGTAGGTCTATCATATAAAATCCTAATAACATGCAGTGAAATTTGTTGTTGCAATGTGACACAAATGTAAAGGGTTATAGTGTTCTCTCACAATGTGCTATTTTTCCCAATAATCTGACTGCAGATGTGTATCTGTTGGGCTCTTGAAGTTTCTTTTTTTTTTTTTTTTTTTTGCTGTCTTTGCCCCACATTGAGCCAATAAAATCACATATCCCTAAAACTAGTTGCAAGTAGGTCTAGACACACCCTGGGGGCTATGGGTGGATTTCAAGGAGACTCAGCAGAATAAGATATTTTTTTGTAATTTTTTTTAATATCACTCAACTAATTTTACAGACGGGATGCAGCAAAATCAAACCTGCCAGTAATAATGAAATGTCCAGCAGAAACATCTTTAGCTGAATTAATATAGAATGATGTAAGCTCCATATATGTAGAAGAGAGAATGTGAACCTTTTGAATTCTTCAAAATGTACAACATTGTGTACATATTGATGTTATTAATAGTGAATATGGGGGAATAAATCAAATGAAGAAGACATGATTCAAGATTATTTTAATATAGAACATGTCCCTGGCTTCAGCTGTTTATCAGTACATATTATTTATCAAAGCTTTGGACAAATTATAAACTGTAGAATACCCCAAACTGTAACTTAATGGCTACTTGCTCTTGGCAGACTGGAGATATTTCAATCTTTCAATCATTTTCAATACTTCTGCTGCAGCTTGGAGCTGTTTTTTTTCTTCTTCTTCTTCTTTTAAGATAGATCATTTAAAATCTGAAACACACTCATTACACATGGCTGGTATAACAAAGTGTTGCTCTTATTTAACAGGAAACTCCATGATGGAGTTTCAAAAACTAGAAGTAAAGTACCACAATTCTCATCGACCGGATTGGACATACACTGAGGTGAATCTTGTTGTTCGTGTTCAACTGTTTACATCTATCCTTCCATCATCTATAATCGCGAGTCACAGCCTGGACAGATTTCCAGTCCAGAGCCATTTGGAGGGACCAGAGGGAACAATTGTGTTTTTGGACGGTAGGAGGGAGCTGAAGAGATGCAATGCAATAAGAATATGGAAATGCCCTGCAGGAAGACCTCAGGTCAGGATTCAAACTCAAACAAATGTCTTGCCACACTAAAATTCAACAAGAAAAGCTACAATAGCATTTCTTCAACATTTATATGGCTGCTCTGACCAACCGAGGCCTGTGTTGCCAAATGCTGTCTTGCGAACAGGAAATGCTCTGGATCTAAGATCTTGCCTGGAACATACAGCATACCTTGTAAAAATATTCACGTAGCTTAAACTGATATACATTCTGTCATCTCAAATTTCAAATGTATTTTACTTCATGCACTGTGCCAACAGAAATGAGTGCATTACTGCGAAGTGGAACGAAAAGGACAAATGGTTTTCGAATTATTTTAAAAAATAAAAATCTGCAAGTTGTACAGTGCAACTTTATTCAGTCCAGCTACCCTTTAATAAAATCAAGGCTGGAGAGCTACGGAGACTCAGGTGGGACACGCTGTTGTTTGAAAAAGTTTTATTTTGCACCAATCTGAAGGCTTTCACAGATTTTGTGGCGCCATCTTTCCATCAAATCTAGCCGGTTTCTGCTCCTTCTGAAGAAAAGTATTCCCCCAACACAACGGTGCCACCACCATGTTTCACAGTAGGAATGTTAAGTTTGTGTTCTACTTTGCATAGTGATTTGTCAGATTTACTCGCAAACCTGGCATTGCTGATCTGGAAGAATTTTGTCCCCAATCTTTGTTTATTTTTTATTTTTTATTATGGTTAAATTTTCACTATGAAAGAAAAATGTGATTAAACTGACTCTTTGTCTGACAAGAATACATCACATCACCACCGTCATTTGATGAGAAGAGGTTAAAAATATGTCACTCCAGCTTTAAGGAAAGCATTGCATTATGATAAGTGAAGGAAGTAGAAAAGTCAATTTTTGTGTAAAATAAAGTTGTTGGGGTTTTTTTTTCCTTCTAAAATCGACAGTGTAGCACAGATTGCTACTTCTACAAATTAATTCTTATACTAAACTAAGAACATGCAGAATAAATCAGTTTCCCGGAACACATGCTTCACTGATTTCAAAAAGATCTGGGGTATTTAGTTCATTTGCTCGGTCTTAACAATTCAGGCCCCTCTTTGCTGCTCAGAGTTTTTTGGGAGGAGAGCACCCCCCCCCCTCCTCTCACCCCCTCTTTCTCCTCCCTTCTCCTTGTGCTACTGTGGGCGCATCCATCTCCAAAGTTTACCCAACAAGCAGGTGGAAGGGGGCACGGCGCACTGAGGGATCCATTCTTGCAGCCTCCTCTCTGTTTGGCCCCTCAGCTGCCCTCTCTGCTCGCCCCCTCCCCTGGATTATTTGTCCCCGACGGGCCGGGCGAAGGGCGCAAAAGAAGCTGCGAATTGCAGCTGTGACGTGGGCGTCGTTGTTCCATTCACCGCGTTCGCCATGGCAACGGGGCAGAAGCTGGAAGCACGCGGTCCCTCTCACACACAATTTCTCTCTCTCTCGCTCGCTCTCCTTGGACGGCGTCCTGAGGGCAGAGAGGCAGCTGGGAGTTCCTCCAAATGATCTCTCCAATACATCTAAGAAGAATTTTGGTTTCCACTCCCTTCCTGTTTTGGTTTTGAACACAAAAGTGCATAACTGGAAGGTTTACAACTTTTACGCGTCATTTTTACGCATGAAACCAATAAACGTGACCCACTAACCCAGATCAAGAGACATTAACTGTGACAAGACGTTTTCGGTTTTTTTTTTTTTTTTTTCCCCGTTTTTTTTTTTCTCTTAAGTCTGAACATGTTCTGTATTTTCCGTGTTTGAACTCAGCTGCCACATCTCTCCTTCCACTTTGTTCACCAACATGCTGCAGGACTGCTCACATTGTTGGCCAGACTGATTGGGGTTTCAGCACAATCTCCCGTGACCAATGAGCGGGGTGCTGTCAGGGGTAACCACATCTGTCAGGCGTTCTCGGCCAATAAAGAGCGGAGCGAGGCGGACCACAGGTGCGCGCCTCTGCGTCCCCTTGGCACAGCGCCCGGGAGATGCTGGAGAGAGACGCCTATAGCTGCCCCGTGGCGCAAAGAGAGTTCCTGTCAGAGGCAGCCTCCCTCTTTAACTCCGGCTATCACTCTGGCTCCGAGAGAGTTTATGGCGACCGCAGCGTCCAACCACTACAGCGTCCTCAGCACCCCCAGCAGCGCGCCGCCGCCGCCGCCGCCGCACTCGGAGTCCGGGAGCATGCAGCAGGCGGCAGCGTACAGGGACGCGCACACCCTGCTCCAGAACGACTACGGCACGCTACCGGGCGGTGGGCATCCGCTCAGCCACGCGCACCAGTGGATAACGGCGCTCTCTCACGGTGACAGCGGGGCGCCGTGGCCGTCCAGTCCCCTCCGAGAGCAGGACGTGAAGCCCATACTGCATGACAGTGACCGAGAGGAGCTGCAGAACTCCAGCAGCCTGCAGCAGCAGCAGCAGCAGCAGCAGCAACAGCGACACCCTCACCTAGCGCACCAGCAGGCGCATCACGACGCCAGAGCATGGCGAACCAGCACGGCCACGACGCACATCACCGGCATGGCGACATCTGAGGGACAGAGCCTGGTGTACTCCCAGTCCGGCTTCGCTCTGATGCCAGGGGGTGAGCAGGGGGGGATGCACCACCACCCTCTGCGGGACGAGGACCACCACAGCCACAGCCCGCACCTCAGTGAGCACGGGGGCGGCCCCGGGGCCCACCACCACCAGCACCAGCAGCACGGGGGCCACCAGGACCAGTCGGACGAGGACACGCCGACCTCGGATGAGCTGGAGCAGTTCGCTAAGCAGTTCAAGCAGCGGCGGATCAAGCTGGGCTTCACGCAGGCGGACGTGGGGCTGGCCCTGGGGACGCTCTACGGGAACGTGTTCTCTCAGACCACCATCTGCAGGTTCGAGGCGCTGCAGCTCAGCTTCAAGAACATGTGCAAACTCAAGCCGCTGCTGAACAAGTGGCTGGAGGAGGCGGACTCCACGTCGGGGAGTCCCACCAGCCTAGATAAGATCGCGGCGCAGGGGAGGAAAAGGAAAAAGCGGACCTCCATCGAGGTGGGCGTCAAGGGCGCTCTGGAAAGCCATTTTCTGAAATGCCCCAAGCCGGGAGCGGCGGAGATCAACTCCCTGGCGGACAGCCTGCAGCTGGAGAAGGAGGTGGTGAGGGTCTGGTTCTGTAACCGGCGGCAGAAGGAGAAGAGGATGACCCCCGCTGGGGGACAGATATCAGGAGGGGAGGACATGTACGGGGACACCCCTCCTCACCACGGAGGACAGACTCCTGTGCAGTGCCCCCGTCCCAGTTTTTTTTTTTCCCCCCCCCCCCCCTCTTACTATTATTATTTTTGGGGAGAAAACACGAACCTCTGCAGGAGGAAGCTTCTTATTTGTTAAATTTCTCAATGCTGGAACTGGACCTCAGCCAGTTTTAAGTGTTGGACGGACGCAGGGATGCAGAGTGGCACCCCGGTGCTAAAAACACTCAGAGCAGAGATGTGTAGAATGGCTTCATGCCAGGCACATTGAGCTGGTGTGTGCTAACCAAAATAGGGAAGAAGAGAGGAAGACAAAAAAAAAAAAGGTGGGGGAGCGGAGGGGGGAAGCATCGACATTTTCTGCATCCGTCTTTTAAAGAAAGGCAGGAAGGAGGAAAACTATAGGAGCAGGCTGCAGTCGGTGTGGGTAAATAAACGCCATCTTTCCATCATAACAAAAGCGACAGGGATCCTGCAGCTTGTGGTAAAAGACAGTGCTGAAATGGCAGACAAATGCTGTAGCCCACAATACCAGCCAACCTATTATTATTATTATTATTATTATTATTATTATTATTATTATTATTTTATATTTATGTTTTTATTTATAATGTCTCTTTAAAATGTCAATTTATAAATGTTGAAAATGTAGAAAAAATATTGTTGAAATAATAATAATAATAATAATAATAATAATAATAATAATAATAATAATAATGTGTGTATTGGTTGACTCGTGCTTTCCTTTCTGTGCGTCCGTTTACACTGTGTTTTTGCTGTTGGTTATTTCTGTACTTTTCCCCAAAACGCTGTGACGAAACAGACCGAGACTGTCCGACTGGAGCCTTCAGAGGGATCCAGTTTATTTTGGCCTTGCTTCCTTTAAGTAAGAAGAACGGGGGACATATTTAAAGTGACCCTGACCCCGTTATTATCCGTTCTGGACTCAGTCAGATGAGAAGACTTTTATTATTATTATTATTATTATTATTATTATTATTATTATTATTATTATTATTAAAAAAGAAAAACATATGTATGGCTTTACTTTGTTAACTGTATTTTTGTTTTGGGTTCGTTTTCCATGTCAAACTGTGCCAAAGCACAAACACAGACACCTGTGTTCTTGTGCCACCTTAATCCTGTGATTATGATCTGATATGTAAGATGTTTCTGTGGGGAAATCCTCCAGAAGTCGGAGATCAAATCTCTGACATATTTTGATTCAAATCTTGAACTTCAGAAACTCAAATACAATGAAGGAACGTTGGTTGGCTGGAGAGAAATTATTATTTGGTTATCATACATAATTGGAATGACAATTTCTAAGTCCTTTTTTTTCTCGTCAGTCAAAGGGAAAAATAGCAATACATGAAATATTAATCTGCAATACGCACATATTTTTTCATATTTTGATTATTGTCAAACAAACAATAACAGGCTTTTTTTCTTTTTCTTTTTTTTTCTTTTTTTAAGATAAGAGTTATAATCCAGAAATCCTTCAGATGAGTTTGAGTTTCTGGTGTAAAAGAGAGGAAGGGGAGAAAAAAAAAAATCAATAAAACCAAAATAAAAATTTATCGACCTGAAATCTGTGATCCAGCAAAGAGGGAAATGAAATCAACAATTGCACAATTTCTATCTGCTTTTTTGTCATTAAATCGTACTGGTTTTCTACAACCCTGCAGTCTTGCTCCATATTTATTGAGTTCCAAAGGAGTAGAAGAGGGGGGAAACACTTGCAAAAAGCTGCTTCTTTTCTTTTTCTTCTTCTTTTTTTTATCTATTCTGGCCTTTGCATTTTAATTACGGACTTTATCGCTTCGTCTCGGTTGCTTGGAAGTGTCCTTCAGCTGCTTTGCAGATGTGCGCACTGATACTGCTGTACGGAGAGATAGCCACACTCAATCACCTGCATCTGAAAGATACACCAATGGTCAGAATAATTGGAAAATTATTCGATAGTGACGGCGAGATGATTTTTTACAGTTTCTGGGAGTAAAAAGTTTTTTTTTATTAGTAGTTCATAATAATATCCAATCATTAAGATAGTCACAGGTGAGCAGTTGGAGTCATGAGATGGTGCAAAGTGCATTTATTTGTTTAACACCTTAACAATTAAATCTCCCTTTATTGGCAGTCTTCCATCCTAAAGTAAGCTGCACGTTTTATTCTGCTGATGCACATAAATGTGAGATGAGAACACAAAACAGGTGCAAACTTGTTTTACGATGACGCAATTTATTGTTGAAGCATCCCGAAAAAATGTTTTTGTTTTATTATTATTATTATTATTATTATTATTATTACTATTATTATTATTATTATTATTACATCTTGGTTATTAAGTTATGTTTCAGTAATTCTGCGCCTTATCTTGCTTCAGCATTTTTGGACCGTTCCAAACTAAATGAATAATTATAATAATAAAAATGCAACTGACTGTGATTTACATTTGGGATAAATTTAGATGTCGTCCTTTATGGTTTTTACTTACGTTTTGTCAACCTAATACTGTGTTTTATAACGTGGCTGTTAATGATGACTGACTTTATTGCAGCTCGCTGCTGTCACCTAGTGGTCAAATGTAGCTAAGACTCTATCAATCCTCAAGAACGAGATAGTCTCTCAGAGTTCAATTCAAGGTTAATGGCTGCTTGGATTTTATTTATTTATTAGTCAAAAAGGAGAAAGAAAAGATAACACAGATTAATGTTGGATAAATATTCCAGATAAAGACCCATGTCTTTCTCACCACAACTCAATGAGGAAGACAGTGAGGTTTTCAAAAACTCCTGAAGATCTCTTACAGGGGAAGTGCAGCAAAGACAGGAATTTCAGGGTCGTCAAGCTTCCATGACAGTTTTAATGTTTACATAAATGCAGCAGCATAGTACACATGTTTCTCCTTAAGGTAAGATATAATCAAAGGGTTCATTTATTTTTATAAGTCAATTAAAGGCTATTTCTTTTTCTTTATTATGACTCATTGCTGATTTAAATCCAAAACTGCGTTACTCAGAAAACTATATTATGTAAGGCAATTAGAAATACTAATTAACACAGAAATGCAGGCAGAATATAAATTAAGCAGACATGTACTTTATACTTGGTCGCAGCTTCTTTGGAAGAAAAAACTGGACCCCTTGATCAGCCAGTGGTTCTGTTGAGGTGTTCAGGAAGCCCTGGTTCCTTATCAGCTTATCTGCACTGCTTGGTCTGGTGTTTCTCATCTGACTCTTCATAATATCCCATAGATTCTCTATGGGGTTTAGATCAGACAAGTGTGATGGCCAATCAAGCACAATGACACCAAGGTCACTGAGGTAGGCGGTGGTACTTTTTCAGTGTGGACAGGTGTCAAGTCCTGCTGGGAAATGAAATCAGCATCTCCATAAAGCTTGTCAGCAGAGGGAAGCATGAGTGCTCAGAAATTCCCTGCTAGATGGCTTCAGTGACTTTGGACTTGATAAAACACAGTTGCTCAACAGCAGCCGATAGCATGGCTCCTAAAATCATCAGTGACTATGGAAGCTTTACGCTGAACTTCAAGCTTCTTGGTTTTTATGCCTTTCCTCTCTTCCTCCAGACTCTGAGACTTTCATTGTCAAATGAGATGATACATTTATTTTCTGAAACGAGGACTTTGGGTCACTGAGAAACAGTCCAGTACTTTCTGGTTCTTCCTGTTTCAGTCAGATTTGTCTGCTTTTGCAGATCCTATGGGATTCCTTCACATTTTTTCTGGAATCACCTCAGGGATGGTACAAACCAGACCTATAGTCAAATTGTTTGGCATTCGTTGTTTGGCCCAAGGAATCCGCAATGAGACTGCGGTAGTTGGGGTGATGGAGATGTTGTCCAAACCTTTGTATCAATTGCAATGGACTAGTCTTTGCAAACATTAACCGGAGATTGGAGCCCGTGACCAACAAACATACAGAGAGATTTTGGAGAAACTGGCTGGCCAAGGGTGCACACCCAGTAAAATCATCTTTGTGTCAATTACAACATGTGCGTGTTCAAGCCCACATAGTGAGGAATACAGTCCCAGTGGAGACACATCCAACTAGGCCAGAACCGAATCAGACAGTCAAATGTTCTGAGAAACTGAATTTTAGGTTTTCATGCTTGAACTGGTACACTGTCATACATCTACATAAGTTTGTTTTAAACTTATATTTGTGTGAAGTTGAACTTGTTTCAGTAAACTGCTTGTTTACTATAGTACTTAAAGTGAACTCTGAAATACATTGTTAGTTACCTACATATTTGCATCTTTTGGTTTCATTAAACTAAGGTTTTTTTTTAATGTAATAAAATAGTGCCAACTATGTCAGATATCATAAATTAATTGTATTGCTTCGTGTTCTCAGATTATGTTCCGATTTAGTGAAGTTTGCAGTTCAAATAAAACTCAGGTCATTTTTATTTTACTCAGTTTAAACTAATGAGACGGTTGAAATCTAAATCGCTGCCCTTCTCCAAAAACCCAGATTTTGGTAGTTTTCTCAGCTAGAAAATGAATGCTAAGTCTTTCATTAAAAAAAAAAAAAATCTGATCAATCGCATGGCAAAAGAAAGTCCATTTCAGAAAGAAAAAGGAAAGGTGTGAATACTTGTTAGTCGTTTCTTTGTGTGTATATTCCGAGGCAGGTCTGAATCCAGCTCTCTGGAGGACCCCGCTGCCTGAATCCTGCCTTATCATCCGACGGCCATCTGCCCTCCTCCCGGCCCTCACGCTCCTACAGGCATCTCCTGCATTATTCATACTGCATAGACACACACACAGCTGCCACCTCTCACACCGTGTATCCCATCTGAACGGAGATGCTTCAGTATTGTTGTCGGTCCTCGTTTGTTTTCTCCTGCCTCTGTAAAGCAGACTTTGCTGGGATTCGTTTTTATGTTTTTTTTGCACAATAGCTGCATGATGGGCCAGAGCCATCAAACATCGCTCATTTGTTTGCTGCCGTTTTTTTTTCTCTTGCTCCTTGCCGTGCCTCCTCAACTTGCCTTTTTTTCCACATTCTGTGCTCCTTTTTGTCTGTTTCTCTGGAGCTCCTGGACAAAGATAAGGGCAAAGAGTTAATCCGTCAGCAACGTCGGACGGGCTTTGCACCGTCACAGGGCAAACACAGTGGGGCAAGATTAACGGACAGAAGCATAAGGTGCCATGAAAAAGTGTTTGCCCTCTTACAGGTTTATTCAGATCACACAAAAAAGTTTATATTAGAAAATAACAACCTGAGTAAATGTGAAGTTTAACTTATAGAGGCTATATGTATCCACGACAATCTGGCAGTAAGTGAAAAATAATCAACC